AAACCACCAAACACCAGACGGAAAAGACATACCATGCGACCGCAGAGTCATGCAACAATGCATTCAGCATTGGTTTGGCTCGGTTGAGGAATTTGAGAAGGTGGTCCAGACCAGGGCGAAGGATGCTACTAGGCTAAAGACCCAGGTTTCATTTTTTTAGTTGATTAATTCTATACTTGTTTGATCCGCCCAGAGGTTGACCTTTTCTTCTTAAACAACGCCAACAAGACAGGCTTTCAAAAAAGCATTTGGGCGGACACTTTTGTCCATTCTGGTGGCTTGCTGCCAGTGAAATCCCAGTCCTATGGCAGCAGATGGATGTTGCAGCTTCAAGACTCTATGAGCGTGATGCACATGGAGCAATAGGCCGGATTGTTCTGGGCTTGAGTGTTCAACTTCTCACTGGCCCGACGGTGTTTGCCACCATCATTCTGCTACTTCGATGGAAACCTTGCCGTGGCCTTCCTCTAAAGCTTCTGGCAATGGCACTTTGCCTTTGTTTGGTGTTCGGAATCCACACTCTCTTTCGAGCTCTCTTTCAATCGCTCGGGGAGCTGTCAGGATCCTTGATTTTTGCAGGCTCTTTTTTGCTACCCACCATCATTCTTTGGCATGTGTCTGCTTACAAATCTTGAGGCCGTGCTACAAAGTTGCTGCGGCGCCCTGTAGATTGACGGATTTTGAAGTAATGTTCTTTCACAACGAATTCCGGCAGTGGTTTTAATTTTTTAAAGCAGCCAGGACTGGAAGCACCAAAACGGGAGGGTCCATGTTTACACTGTTTGTTTAGTCCAAAGAAACAGCAGGTACTGTAGTGCAGGTGAAGAAACTGTAACCCATCAATACAAAGACCATGCTGTTTGCCTATTAAAGTGTGAAAGATGGCGGAATCTGGGCATAAACACAGATAAACACACTTAATGCACTCCAACCTATTGCAACCGAGTATCAGTGACTTGGCAGTGAACTGTTTGTTGTACATATTTCTTTGTGCAATTCATCTAGTTAAAATTGAATGACCCCCACCAGATCCAAGATATTCTTTGCAGAGAAAGCGAAGGGTATAGTCGAACATAGTGGATGATGTAGCTCTTCAATTTAATGAGTTGGGATTGTGTCTTGAATCATCTTCATTTGCAGCGCACCGACGTGTCAGATCTGCAAATCCCAGAATTGAGGAGGACTTAATTGATCGATTCTGATCTAGGATTGAGGACCATTCAGAATGGTACTCGCTTTGGTAGCCCTTTGAGGACTCCAACGCCTTCTAAGAATCGACTATCGACTAGGCATCCCAGAGGCCACCGCCTGCATGAAGAACAAGGAACCTGCAATGTGTGCCAAGCTGTGGAGCTGTAACGTAAAAAAGGGGAGATCTGTATAGATTCACTTATATCTAACAAAAAGAAACAAAGCTCAAACAAGACACTCACTTAACACCATCGCTTTTTTCGCATGGGTTAGCATGGGCACTTGGGAGCCCCTAAACCACAGGAACCAGCTGGACCGACACCTCGTTCTCGGCCGGCCCGTATGGGACCGAAAACCCCGGTGACCCGACCGTGCCAGGCCTCAGCCAAGGCAAAGGATTCGGCCTTCAGCCCCTCGGTTCTGATGCTGGTTTCGACCAAAGGGTTGGAGGCCAATCGTTACTAGGGTTGGAGGCCATCCGCAAGAACAGACACCAACAAACAGACACGGATTTCTGGTCTTATAGAGTTTCTGAAGGTCACAACGATAAGTGACGGAGCCAACAGAGCGGACCAACAGAGCGGACAGATTGTGAGCGACCAGCATTGCTTTGGATGTTCTGTGAACATGGCTTCGCGATGCTTCGCTGATTTCCCGCAGCAAATGACTCGTATGTGTTCTCATAGCGCTGATTCCTTGAGGCTTGCATCAGACGATGCAGGGCTACATCTCAGGCTTCTCTTCTCGAAAGTGAGTCAGATCGCTCGACTGCCCCGCTTTGCGGGTGAGGTAGATGTCCGTGGGTACGTAGGCTGACACGATGTGAATCCGTTGGCTGACATGTGACATGGAGTCCGTTTCCTGAAACCAAGCAGATCCAAGCAGATGAGTTTCGGGTTTGCAGACAGGCTTTCACATTGGTAAGTGGCTGCCACTCTCGCACCCGGCACGGCCAGGTTAAGGTCGTGGTGAAAACACGCGGCTGGCAAGGGCCAGGCGCACCGTTCTCCATACACCTGGAAATATGTAAAAGATACAGTAAACATCAGTAAACATTACAATGTTTATAATGATTTGTAATGTGTAATATAAACAATATAACAGTTATAGCGGACTATAGTATACTATATAGCTACTGTAATTAGTTTCTATGCTAGTATGATCTAGTATGGTTTGATGTCTCAGTTCTTTTTAATTCCCGGCCGTAGCCGTCTGCGTGTCCACGCGTCCGTGATTCACGCTGCGTCGACCGGCGCGCTGAGCAGTAGGAGGGCAGAGCAGTTGGCAGAGCAGTGCCGGAGCAGATGGATAGAAGGAACACCAAAGCTTTTCGATATCATATGCATTTTGTTGTTCAATCTGAGAACATGATCAGTTTGACTGTTTATTCGAGTTCATGATCAATTTGTTTGTTACTGTAACTGAACCCCCAAAGATTTCATTTCATCCTAGGTCAGTTGGGTTTGTTGTCATGCACCTTCACAAGCATGAGACTGGGATTTTCCATCGCTCGAAGGGTTTTCGGTTTTCAGAAGTCAGACTGAGATCTTCCAACGGCAACATCTTGGAGGATGTTGGATCATGATGTTATTCGCAGACGCGTTGGATCTTCCAACGAATGCAATATGTTTGCCTTTTGGCTCTAGCTTTGTAGATGACTCTGACAGTGGAGGTTTTGCACAGTTGGAAGATCTAGGGATGCTGTGTTGGAGTGTATCAAACCGCCACTCAAATATTTCAGCGTTTGGAGCTGGTGGGAGGTGCAGTTCTGGGAACGGGGCTGGGAAAGGAAGTTCAAAGAAGAACCCCAAGAATCAAGGCTTCAAAAGTCACAGTGGCCATTTTTTTGCAGAATTCCTCCAGTCTTCCTCCAGCTGCACCGTTGGACACAGCCGGCCGGCCGGTCTTGTTTCAACACATGGACTGCGACTGCTCCGACTGCTTGTGACACAACGGTCAGACCGCACTTCTGGTGCAATATGCCAATGACGATTTGATCGATTCGACCATCACGCCATGGGAGGCCGGAGGATGGAGATGAGACAACCCAGATGACGGAGACGATGAGGTCAGGTCAGATTTGGAGATAAGGCAAGGAGATGTCGAAGCCACCGTAATTCACTTCATGAGAGGATAGTCTATGAACTAGACCGGGACATTGCTGAAAAAAGTGCTTTAGGTGTTTTCCCAGCCCTTGCGACTTTTGGTTGCTGTGCTGGGAGAAAAGTGGTGGAAAACAGATCCAAGATGCCTCCTACCATGCCTCCTTCTCCCGTGGCGGCAGTAGGCGTGTGAAAACACACGACTTAAGAGGCGATGTCAATGTCCATGATTCCTGGATAAGATCATTGGCCGCTGATCGAGAGGGGGGCGCGTGGTCCTCACGATGCTTCCAAACGCTATCAGAACTGGCCCATATGCTTCCTGTGTCATTCACACGATGTTCCTCGGCGCGGCGCCAGTGACGTAAAGAGAAAACGTGGGACCTGCGCCACTGAGTGTTGCCGCAAGGAAGGAAGAAAGAGAGACGCGGTGGTCACGTCAAAAAAAACACCATCGTTGGGCACGTGGCCTTCAGTAGGCGCGTGCCTCATATCTACTACTTTGATCCCCACATCAATGCCAGGAAACCACAGGTTAGATAGAGGAATGATGGTACTGCGTCGCGTATGTCAGTGCTACTGCTTGCTATTTCTCCTGCTGCAATCAGCAAAAAGGCAGCTACTACAATGTTACAATACAGGATTATATTGAAACTAGTCAGTTTTTTTTCCACGATGGGCTCGTTGGAAATCACATTTGCTATCTGAACACACGTTCAGCCCCTGATGCCTCGCCACGCTGAATTGGAGACCCATATACAAAGCCGGAAGACCACTGAAGACAACAACCTGAGAGGACCCTGCAACAGGTGTTCCAACTGTTCAACAGTGAGGTAGCAAGGCTTTGTAGGGAATGATGTCCAACCTCTTGGGAAGGCAAGGGAATTGGTATGTATGTTGCGGTTTCAGAGTAGATGGCCCCAGCATGTTTTTTTGTTTTGATATGGGCTGCTATGGGAGTCCAAAGCCCAACTAACACCTGATGATATGGGGGATTCTGCTAAACCACTGTAGACCCGTACTGTTTTCAAACGCCCGGTCCTGTACTTGGAGTGACACATGCACCGTTTTCACCACTGCCGCTTTTCCTGCGGAGGGCGTAGAATCGAGGTCAGGACGGTGGTGTCAGACGAAAAGGTTCTGAAAACGTACAGTTTCGGAGTAGAGGATGCACAGTAGATGCCCTATGTCAAGGTCTAGATGGAGGTCCATGGAGGTCCATGGAGGTCCATCTCGTGTGGATGATGCCATCTACTCTCCATCCAGCAAAGAAGAGATCAATTTGGTCCATTCAGCGGCCGATGACCCCCCCAGTGAGGTGAGATCGATCAGCGCGTGCGTCTGAAAACAGTGACTGCAGCGGAATGCTGGATGGTATTGCGTTGGGCTTCGTAGAACGGGGATTGAGGCGTGAAGCAGTTAGACTTGGCCATGTAGGTTTCAGGTCGACCTGAAAGCTTTTGATATCCAACCGTGGAGGGTTGAGACAGCTTCAAGGAATTCCTCATGAGAAAAGGGCGAATTCCTCCGATCTCGGAGAGAAGTTGAAGCAACTTGCTGACATGAGCAGGAGGCTCTTCGAACAGCAGGAGCCCCATCTGACGGCTTGCCGCTGTAGTCCTACAGCGGCGGGATCGATCCTCCTCTCCACCGGCACCTCACCACTGCACTGCACTCCAAGTGGCCACATGGAGTGCCAGTTCTGAGGCCGGTCGCACCTGTGACGCAGGCTGCGGCAGAGGCACCGAACGAAAAGCCGGAAGGGTTGGAACCGCTTTTGAACCTGGTGGTTTTATGTGGTTTTTGGATGATACTCCTGAGAAACCGTGAAAATCGTGTTTTTTTATTGGTGTATAGTGGGAACTTTGGACACTTTGCAGTGGTTCTGGTTTTCTTGGAGGCTTTTTTTCACATCATCACCCTTTTATTCAGAAGATTCTTGTTGGACCCAGCAGAAGGAGATGTGTTGAGAAGGTAGGGAAGACATGGTGCTTCACAGTAACCTTGCAACACACAGTAACCTGCATGTACCTATAGAACCTGACGGCTAGCGGCTAGCGCTGTTTTGGAGGATCAACTATAGTAACTATCCAAACATATCCCAAATATATGGGCCTTTTCCTATCCAAACAGGAGGTCAAATATTTCTACGTATATTGTACTTCGAGACTGCTGGACCTTCAGAAGGATTCTGTGTGTTCAGCACCGACATGTCCACCAAATTCCAAGAATCGGAGTATCTCATCAACTAGCAAGCACATATAGAATCATATAGATTAATCCAATTAACTCCACAGAACATGACATTTCGATCTAGCAATGCATGCAGATCACCAACCTGACCAGCATCGTTTCCTCTTTACCCACCTCACCTCACCTCACCCCACCTCATCACGGTTTCACCGCCCGACCTCGTTCCGTACCGGGCTGGCGGAGGCCATCGGCCGCATCGCTCTGACCACCAGCGCCTGGCGACCCGTGCTGCGGAGCTGTGCCATGGAGGCCCGTGGAGTGAGCGGGGCTGGGTGGGGTGCTGGAAGCCAAGTCGGAAGTGTTGGAAGAGATGTGGAACACGGACGTAGGAGGATGGACTATTTCAATGACATGGTCCGTGTTTTCCACTGATTTGTTGGAGTGTGCTTGTGTTGGTAAATCCGAGCACACCAGGAGATGGAACCTCTCAAGACATAGATATATAGATATACCCTGGGAGTCAAAGACTATACAAAGAATGGTCTTTAGGTGACCCAAAAAGGAAGTTCCTTTACTTCAGTCGGTCAAAATATAGTCTTTGGACTTCTAAGGGTATATATAGATATCACTATAGTATATCTCCTCCTCCCATTTCCTTTCGCTTCCGCCTTCCGCCTTCCGCTGTGCTGCTCTCACCGTGTCGGTCCGGTCCGGTGCGAGGCCCTGACGAATTGGATTCGCTACGGCTTGCCGGACCGGAAGCTGAACAAGGCCAGACCGTGGCGGCTTCGGTCGGGTGGTCCGGCTCGGGGTCGAAGGGGGAGGTGGGTCGGGAGGTGGGTCGGCTGAGGTAGAGAGGTGGGTGAACAGACTGAGATGGGGGCGACTAGATGGCAGAAAAGGGTTTTAGCAAGCTTCTGGTGATTCTATGCAGTTCTTCGAGATGACTATGCAGCTCGTTGCAGTTCCTTTGATGTTTAAGGGATACGGGGAGGATCGGGGAGGCATAGGAGGCCATTTGTTTAACGGGACCCTGGCGTTCAGGGACGTCAGGAAGTGATGCTTCCTGGGTCACGGGTGGTCCCAAACTCCCAACTCTGGCCGATCGTGGTGACACTTCATCAGTTCAGCAATCCTGAAACCTGCAGTACCCCTTCTTGTACCTCCAAACACTGGATATCACTGGACCGGTTCGTGGTGCTGGCGTCATTCGCCAAACCAGTTAGCCGATCCAGCTGCCGATCACACCTGTTCGCGCAGCTACTATGGCATTGGGGTGAATCTCTTTTTTAGCGACAGATCCATACACATCCCACTTCACCTGGTGAAGGTGGTCAAAACCGGAGTACCCTGGTTGACCACTGAACATGAACGGATTCCTCCTTTCTTCAGTGCATATCGCACCGTGTTTCACCTGACACCTGAGCCCACCGAATCCCGCCACCACCGCGTAAACGCATCCGCGCGTGTGACGCCTCCGCGCGCCGGTCGCAGTATCTCTTCTGGGCGGCCGCCGCGATGTCGGGTATGCCCTTTGTCGTCGGGCCCCAAAGACACAGTGTGAGTGTGCAGTGTATAGACTCGAGCACTCGAGCTCATAGATTTCGACCTCCCCAGAGTGGAAGAGGTTTTACAATCCATGTGTTTGGGGATTTGTAGACTCTTCATTCCTATGAGGGGTTTATGCATCAAGCGTCTAACAGGTTTTGCTGGGTTTGATGTGGCTTCTTGCATTTGTCCAGCAGGTTCAGAGAATCACCTGCTGATCATATTTAGTAGTTCTGCTTGGTGGGGTGCATTATAGAAAAAGTATGAAAAAGTAGATTGCTTAATGATAGATCTAGGTTTGGTTTGTCCTATTACCTGTAACAGTCAGTAAACAAGTATCATTATTTGTGACTACTAACCATCATTATCCACTGTTACTGGCAATAGGATTGACCGAAGATCTAGTATAGTCCTGACTGCAGCTTGCAAGCTTTGTTTGTTGCCATGAACCTACCAGCAATGGATAGCTATAGCGGCTGGGTCCGGCTGGGACATGCGAATTGGGATCAGCCTCATCCTGCGCACCATGCGGCACGCTTTTCTATTTGGGTCTGCTTCAGGTCCCAAACCAATTTCGACTGGAGATGCAGACCAGGATTTCTTCTTGATGGTCCCAGCATCACAGAGTTTCGATCACATCCGGGGCCGCCGTCATGGCCTCTGCTCGTTGCGGCCCCAACAACTCGGGAGGGACCAGGCTCTTTCCGGTTCGACCACACGGCTGGTGCCATATCCACGTCACGTGACTGCTCATCACTCGGAGTGAAGTGTAACACTAGTGTACCCTATTTAAAAGTGGAGAACCCTTATACAATAATCCTATATAATCCTACAACCTCTTTGTCCTCTGTCTTCATGGGAAACAGACCATCTGTGTCTTCCTTTGCTCGGTTCCTCCGATCGCCGATCGGATCGGTCAAGGCGAATGAGGTGAAGCTCCACATGAACAGCGTCTCCGCGGTGGGGGGGTGGGTGAGTACCGGTGGGTGAAGCAATAAGGAAGGTCACCAGGATGCTTCAAGGTCACCAGGTACGTCTTGGAAGGTCACCAAATCATCAGTATGGTGGAACATGCAATGATTTTCATGCCATACTGTGGAACACAAGAACTCTCTCCCTCCTCTCGATAGGTTGATGCGGCCCTTTGTACCATCATCGATATCTTGGATGAAGACATCGATGGTGCGAAGCCACAGTGGTTTGGCGAACTACGGAAGAGCTCTGAAGAAAGAACGTTGAGGTACAGGATGACATCAGGTTTTACTTGACAGATCTTGACAGCTAGAGCCATCTTGTTCACTCGAGCCATCCGTACTGATTCAAATTTGTCGGTTGCTTGAAGCACTGCAGAAAAAGCAAGCAATCGAGATCGCACAGCACAAGACAGTCGCCGACATTCCTATCCCCAGTCCACACGGCATGTTCATTCCATGTTCTGTGTACTTCTAAGTTGAGATGGAACTTGTTATAGTTTCATCGCAACGATGTGCGTTCATGAGTGCCTAACCATCTAACCTGTGTTTAATTTCTATTATGACATCCGTGATCCTTGGCCCAGATTCCCATGTCCTTTGTGGGCACATTTGCTTTCACCATCACCAACCAGTACAATGGCGCCAATACCATTGACGTCCTTTGACTTGTGCTTCCTACGTCCTTTTCTTCAGTTCTTCGGAACGGAGGAGCCGACCGAGAGGAGCCGAACGGAGGAGCTCGCACCCTCGCAGGTGAGTATACCCTCGCAGGAGCTGACCGTGGCGAGGCGCCGGAGCGAACAGACCGGTCGCGGCAACCGGTCGCGGCAGGGAGTCGGACGATGGGTGGATGACCCCCCTTGAATTGGTCTGCTAGGAGGGAAGAGATGGTGGTCACTTCTGTTGGCAGTCGACAGCTGACAGGTGTTTGTGGTGTCTGACAGGACGGCAACTTCACATACAGGATCCAACTAGGAGATATCTTAGAAAATCCCTAAGCCACAGATCTTCCATGACTTCTATAACAATGTATTTGTGTTTTTCATCATGAAACAACGTTTCCATGACAATTTGGTGCCTGCCACTTGGCACCTTTGTGGCGTTTCCACCTGTGCGGATGGGAAGCCAGGCGGAGATGCCGGACCTCTTGGGCCTCATCGTGCAAGCCATGGGCCTCCATTCGGGCGCGCCCGAGGCGCGCGGGTCCCCGCGTCACCGGGCGACCGACACGGAAGGATGTCCGTCTGCATGACTTATGCTAGGCATGACCGATTTTTTCCGCCATGACGTCTGTGGATTCCGTTTGGGAAGAGGTATGTGGATTGTGCGTTTGGTCAATTGCCTGTGTGTCACTAAAGTGAAGAATAGGGGGTGATTGAGACACTCCATGGGCCATGGATGTTTACCTCCATTCGTCCCGGCGTCCAAGGCCGCCGTCCACCAGGACGTCAGTCCACCCGGCCCCGAGTCCTGCGGTTGACTAGCACCATCCCAGATTCAAGCGCGCGGCTCCACGTGCATCAGCTTACTGGTGCCTTATGTGCCCTTTGCCGCGTGACAGCACGGAAGTAGGAGAGATCAGACGGGACGGTCCTGGACTGGGCAGAGAGCTGGATGGTATGGGAGGTGTTTCCATTCACACGTGTCCGTTGGCTCACGCTGAAGGGAACCCACAAGCCAAGCTTGCCAAGGTCTCTTGCCAAGGTCTCTTGGAAGTGGTTCGTTGACAGTAGCTGAGGGGAACCCGAACTTGAGTTCTATGAATCGATGGTCAATATGGCCAGTTTGTCTTGTTGTGAGCGCAACAAGATACCCGATGCCATGTCCAGAAAGAGTCATGTCGACTGCCGATGAACCAATCACCCATCTCAGCACTTGGAATACCATATCATATACTATCATATACCATATATATATATATAACATGTGTTTCTGTTGAATGGCGCAGAAAAAAGTATTTTACCCCAACTGGTGAACCCCCAGCTTCGGATGCAACTTCGCTGGACACCCAGCTTCCTGGGAGCGGTCCCAGTGGTCGGCCCAGAGGGGTCGCTTTTCTTGATCCGGAAGAAGAGAAGGTTTCGGTTTCGCTCGTTGAAGGTTTTTGGCCCATGTTATCCTCACCTTTTCAGGTTTGGATAGCGATATCTAGTGGCAACTATATAGTGCCCTTTTCGAGGTACTTAGACTTCCGTGTGCACACAAATGAGTATCTCGGTTTTAATCAGTTGGCCGCTACCATGAAGCGACGCACCCTGCCATGACATGTGACACCAAACACCCTGCCATGGCCGTTGAGGCGAAGCTCAGTGCCGTGGCGCCGGTGGCCATCGTCTCGGTGCCGCTGGGGAAGTCGTTATCCGGGCCACGAAGGAAGAACGTCGAGGACTTAGCTGACGACAGTGGCATAGAAGTCATGTGATAATTGGCGTTTTGCAAGTGATATCGATGGAACTGATGCGTTCGAACCAAACAGTACGGAGGTACGACACCTGACCAATCCGACACAGTCAGGCCCTCCGGGGGTCGGACCCCTCTTCGAGTCTGGACCCTCAAAACAGGCTCCGAGTCGAAGCCCAGGGTGATAGGACTCCCAAACACGACCTGTCCGGGACTGTTGGACTGCCCAGAAACGGTGTACCGTGGGTGTACCTTGACCTTGGGGTGACCCCAGGTATTACATGGAGTGTTTGGGTAAGCATGGGAGATTTGACGTCAAGCACCAGCCAGGTGGGAGGGTGCAGGGTGCCTGTTGTGAAGCATCTTCACTGCCATCCGCAATGCGTATTCATGGCCGGTAGCAGGGTTGTCCTGGTGTAAACGTTCAGATTATATCAGATCCCAGACACGACCTGTCTGGGACTGCTATAATATGCCTACATTGACCCCCCCTGGCACCACCCTTGGCCGTCTCAGCAGTCCTATGGCAGTCCCAGACAGGTGGTGTCTGGGGATTAGTATTGGTTGAATCGGCTCTTGAATCGTAGAATCCTGGGGTCGAGTCGGCTCAGTTGTTCTCCACTGAGCTCCTGGTGAATCGTCGCCTCCACCGCGATCTCCAGGTACTCACTGGCCATCGCCGGTTCCCCAGGAGGATGGCCAAGCCTTCCGCTTTCGCGCAGGGTGGGAGGTGGGGTATACCTACAGAGGTTAAGTGACCTGAACTAGGACCCTACAGGGGTAGGTATAGGATAGTCTATAGGGTTCTTCAACCTCTGCTGGTTGGTGGGGTATACACCAAATCGATCCAAATCGGGCAAGCCGATGAGCAGTTCACCCCAAGAACTCATCCCCTCATCACGAAGCACTTTGAGTTCTGTGGGAATACACCGCGAAGAAAATCAAGGATTAGTTCTTGCCGTTGGTAGCCGCAAGACAGAGGGCAGAGAGACAAGGTGTGCGTTTTTGCTCCAGATACATGAAGATTCCTTGTGCTTGACCACGGTCCTGTGTTCGACATCCAATCCCGTTTCTTTTCGTGGTTTTCGACACACAATCTGTTTCAGTGTTATTTCTCCATGCAAGTGTGGGGGTTAGATGAGGTTTCATCAGGTAGATGAGTTCCCGTGCGCACCGAACAAGTCACCATAGCCTGACTTCACATCGAAGTGAGCAGCCCATAGCCTGACGGTTTGAGTGGTTATCTCTGATATGTTCCAGGCTGATATGGCTCAAAGTATACGGCTCAACCGAATGATTTAGTTTGAGCTATATTTTTGATATGGGTGTGTATAGCTCAAACTAGGGAGACCGATCGTAGGTGTTCCAACCCCCCCTGATACACACAGACCAGTCACACAGATCAGGTGGAGATCCCAATTCACAACGGATGGTGCCACAGGTACTTACCACAGGTGTGGCGTGATTGATGTCTCTCGCTTTCGGAGCGGCTCGCCCCCCCCTCAGCTCGGCTGAGACTCATGCCCTCAGCAGTCAGCGAGCGATTGAGCCGCAGGATGGATGTGATGAGCGGTTCTGCTTGCGCACTGCGGGCCTTCTGTGAACTATGCAGGCTGGGACAGCGACAGCCGCATCCGGACGGTGTCCGCTGTCGCCCGAGACCAACGTCACAAGGGCCGATGCGTTGGCATCGGAACCGCGGTCGCCCGCGGAGATGCCAAGGAGTGATTCGGAGATGACATGTCCCAGGATTGAACTTTGGAAGTCCCGAGATGAAGGTGACATGTTGCAATTGACCAGTTTCAGGAGCGCACCAGTGTTTGATACAGACATGTTCTATGTATTCTTGTTCGGAGAGCCTTACTGTAGTTGAGCATATACTGAACGTATCAGTTGGTTGTAGCGGATCACTCTTGCTCAAGGCTCAACTTATTCCAGACAGTTCTCCAAAAGCATCAGTTTCTGTAGAAGAACCAGACTCTCATAAACCTGCAAGAGAAAACATGAGAAACCTATTGTGCTTTGTTGGGATGTCTATTTGAGTCTATCTACTTCAGGATAGAAACAAACACAGATCACAGCTCACACCAGGGTGTTTAGGCATCAACGGTCAGGTTGCGCGGTTGCAACACGACCTCGCCAGGAGACATCAGGGCGCCGAGGGCACCGAGGTCAGGTGTTTTGATTTCAAGCGATGACAGGTTCGGATGGGGTGTGCAATGTCCCAGAAACACACCCAAATGGAGCGATGCACATTGCACTTGCAGCAGCAGGTGATGAGTATGTTTCTTCGTGTCGTGGCGCCACTATATGAGACATAGTATGAGACATATAGTCCTAATTGTGCCGCCAAAACTCATCAGGACCTGGAAGTAATAGTCCAATGGATTGTGCTGCCGTCCTGGTTTCTGTTACACCCTGGAAAACTAACATGGACCCTGAAACCTACTGCTTGGCAAGAGCAAAAACACTTTTTCAAACGTGCCTTTCGACCCGGGTCCGACGTGACGTGAAACGAGGAGTGTAGGTTTGTGTAGGTGGTTTTCAGGCGATGAAGAGTATGCTAGCATATAGCCCTTTAGCGTCCCCTTCATCACCCATCTCCCCGACCGGTAGTGAAGTGCCGTTACTGTGCGCTGAGCGAAGTGAAGAGGGTTGGGGTGCGTCCTTCACGGAAAAACCCCTTGAAACAACATGCCTTGAAAGCATGTCAAGGGATTCTATGGTGACCCGGTGGGACATCATTTGAGTTTGATGGGGAAAAAACATGTGTTTGATGGGACAATGACACTTCTAATCAGCAGGTCCTGGCTCAAGAGCCGCTTTTCTTTGAGCTAGGCATTGCCATCTTAGGATGCCCTCTCGGAAAAGAAAGGAGGTTCTTGGCAGGTCCTTTTTGCCAATGGATAGGTGCATCCCCAAAATGGGGAAACATTAGGTTTTGGTGGGGTTTGTTAATCTTCGCAGGGACTGTGTTAGGATTGGCTTGTATTTGGTGGAACAGACATGTGGAAGACCAAATGTGCAAGGTATTGTTCCGGTGGAATGAATGATGCCCAAACGTTGGAAAGTGATGGAACGTGTTACTTGGGAACACAAAAGGAAAAAGGTGGAGTCGCGTAGGCCCAGCTGACAGGCTACCGAGCGAGAAACACCGTTCATCCCTGTCTGACAGGGAAAAACTTGCTTTGACTGGGACATGGTTCTGTTGGGGGGTATGTTGGGAACAAACAATTGGGGGTATGTTGGGGGTATGTTGGTGTCCTGAATGAGTTTGTTTGTAGGTCTCTTTCATGAAGTGGTGCTCTATCAATCAAGAGGGTGTGGTTGTGGCACTGTGAAAGCTCTACCAGCCACCCTGCTAATCACCAAAAATGGTGCCATATACATCATATAGTTATATAAAACCATATTCTTCAAAGCTCTATGTGAAGATGTGCAACCGAGTTGCCTTGGCTAAAGGGAGTCGACCTCCTCGTCTCCCCGGAACCAACCGATCCCTCGCGGCGCGCGGCCAGGTCATCGTGTCCCGGCTTCGCCAGGAGGGTGCGAGCGAATGTATGGAGCAGGCGGCACGCCCGGTGGCTACAAGCACTGAGAGTACGCACACTGAGCCATGAAAGACCTGAAGTTCGTGAAAAAACATCTATTATAGTTAAAAGGGATTTAGCTTTAAAACCTGGTTGTTTCGGTATATCTACATGTGGCTGCTGGTTTCATATGTTGGACTTATCCGTTGACTCACAGTACAACTCCTCCTTGCTGGTGATGCCAACATGCTCTTTCAATGGACACCATGCCATCCACGCAACCATGCGACGAAACCTCTTGAAGTAAGGGAAGAACCAACATCAACCAAAAGGCAACAAGAAAACAATCAACAATTATATAGATCAAACACACTTTAACATATTATCTAGTACCACAGAATCACACCCCCCGGCCATTCCCTAACTCTGTATTTTTTCCTCCAATAGTCGCCCAAAAGCTTTCCATGGTGGATAGATGCGGTGTTTGTTTTGTTTGTGGTTCTTCCGAGCTGCCAGGTCTTCATGGGATTCTCCCACTACGAGGATGCCTCGGAGCTCCTCGAGGAGCGAGCTCGCTCCGCTCTTTGGTCCGGCTTTCGAGATCGGTCGAACCCGGGAGGATGGATGAATCGAGGCATCGATGGGGCTTTCAAGAACGGGACTCGATCTGTAATAGATTGTATTCTTTATATAGTTGAAAAAATATACTTGGTCGTATGAATTGTGTTTGTATTTGTTTGATTTCAATTCGACACTACACCTTTTGAATCTCTATATATATAGCACTTATTTGTATTCAGACAAGGTCACAAGTGTCAAACAAGCTCTACTTGATCCTATTTCGTAGCTCACAACAAATACTAGTTGTGCGCTTCACTATGAAGCCTACAGGTTGAGGTTACCACCGCTGGCTGTTCAATCTCCCATCTCATCCGCACACCTCCTGGCACCTCACATCCACTTTAGCACCATTTGCCTCAAAAAGACGATCCCAGACTTCGAACAAACACCCTCCGCCCTCCTTCTTCCGATACGATCCATCCCAAATCCTCAGGGATTTGGGCGTTTTTCTGTCTCCTTGGCGTCTTCACACGCACAGCTCTCATGGCTTCACCGGGACCGGTCGGCCAGGACGCTGCGGCGGTGCACGCGCAGCTCTCGGGAGTGGAGGTGTGAGTAGCGGTTGAGCGAGGAGGGACGCAGGGGTTGAGCAGGTGTTGAGTCTGAGTCGTTGCCGCGGTGCCTTTCTTAAAGCCATTTTCAAGGACGTGTTGTTCGGAGGCAAGGTGATGTGGTGGCTTGAAGAGGCAGAGGTGATGTGTGATTGGGACTGACAGAGTGCACAAGGCAACGTTGAAGTGAGTAAAAAGAAGGAAATTGGAAGTCTTGGTCTTGATCCCCAAAAAAGAAGGACTCCAGGGCATGTCGGCTTCAGAAGTGCTTCCGTTTCAAGAACTGCCTGCAAAGTCATCGGGTGGCACTTCAGCAGCGCTGTCTTCGTCGCCTCGTCTTCGTCTTCGTCTCCAGGCGCTGCTGAAGCGCCTGGCAGAGGAGCCAGCGACCTCGTTACTGCGGGTGGCCGGGCTGAAGGCGATCTTCGAGGAGAGCGGGAGCGGGAGCGGGAGCGGAGTGGAGCCGCCGTTTTTTTTTTCGAGCGAGTGAGAAGCATTGTGAAGTGAAGCTATAGTAGGTGAAGATGGTGAAGTGAAGAGATCCCATATGGTTTGTCTTCAGCAGAAAACAATCTGAAAACATATGTCTTCAGCGTGCCATGTGTTCTGGCTTGTCAGGCCAGATTGAATGAGGCCCCGATCTGGTGAAAGAGCGTTGCCATTCTTCTGGCGTATTGGATTTTCGATTGGCTTTTGACTTGCAACAAGTATGTGTCCAAGGAACAACTGGGCAGCGCCCGCCAAGGGTGTTTCTTATCAGATGCGAATGCACCAGTCCAGTCACTTTTGCAAAATGCTTTGCGTGTTGGACAAAAACACACCTGACAAACATGCATCAATTGTACATGAACCCATCAATCACCTAGAATCACCTAAAAACCTCCATCGCTAGGCCTTCAACATTCAGCCGCCATTGGCGACTTGGACGAATGACCCGAACATCGCCTCGCTGGTGGCGTCGCGTTCGCCCTCCTTCCGCGACATGTCGCGCAGGAGGGCCGACTCGACATGGACTTCTTCTCCGGCCGTGCGGCCGCCACAGCCATTGAGGCGACCGATCCGGTCGTTTTCGGCTTCGAAGGGTACAGCTTTCATCGTCCCTCATTGGAAGCTTCGCTTCTTTCGTTGACCAAGTGCGTCTTTGTCTGAATTATTGTTGTTGCGTTGTTTTAAAACCCACAGATTTATGCTATATATATAAATAATGTTTGCTAAACTCACAAAAAACACATGTATTTTCATTTTTTAAGTCTACTTGTATGCTGCATGCTTAACGCGGCACATCAGACCAGGCAGCTGTACTATACTACTCTGGCAATCAGAAGTATCGAAAGCGGCTTGGCACCAACTGCCACCCCAAAGTTCTTTCGATACTGAAGTAATTTGGTTTGTCTACTCAACATATATTATGTGGTGCCAAGCATCAACATATATCAACATCAACCAGGAACATCTAATATCTAGGTGAAAATAAACTCTATAAAACCATAGGGGATATGCTATTCCATAAAATGGTTTAGGGGCTACCCTTTTTAGGGGGGTGACACCCTGATTTTTGTTCGTTTAGCGTGCAGGTGTATTTTGCTTTGTGTTTTTGGATTGGCTCAAACACATGAGCATCAATCAGGCTTTCCCTAAAACCATGGTCAGGACTCCCCCCCAGGGAATTTACACAGAGATGATCTATAATCATATCTAAATTATATAATTTGGTTGAATCCTTTGGCATTGCTTCAGGCCTGTGAACGGATGGTCTTGGAGGCACGCGCCGACGAAGACGGACGTGCCGGACGGCGTCGGACGTGTCCAACACGTGGACGGCCTCGGTGGACCGGGGACCGTCCGACGCCCCGGTCCGAACTGGGTGAAGGAAGAGCTTCGTTTACGACATCACCATCGTGACCTGAATAGATTCATCGTGACCTGAATAGATTGAATAGATTGAATGTGACCTGAAAAAGGACCTGTTTAAGGTCCCTGGGGTATCTATGATATAGTCGAACTCGGGTTCTTCAACCTTTCAACGGTGGTTTCCTCTTTCCTTCGCAGCGTTGTGCGGATAGTATCTTCACCCCCAAAACCCTCACCACATCTTCAACTCCGGTGTTACAGCCTTAGGGCGAAGAGACCAGGACCTGGGAAGAGACGTGGCTTCCTTGCGGAGGGAGGGACGTGGGATCCGCGGATGTCGCTGTCGCTATCGCTCGCGGAGCGGACACCGGACACACCGCAAGGCCACGCGGTACAACGAGTCGGAGAAGGCGCGACGGTGATGGGGGGGGGGTCCCGTGACGCGACCAGGTCCGGAGGAAGCGCTCCGACTCATGTGGAGCGAAGCGCAGGACATGAGGTGGTAAACAGTTCCATAGATGGCCAATGGAGGGCTTGGTGTTCAAGGCGTTTTGCCGCCAGTTGCCTTTGACGAGCGCTTTCCGGCTGGGTACCAACCCTCGAATTCATGCTTTCTAGTACTTAGCTGTCTCGTCTGGCACTCGTCAATGGCGTGCTGTCACTCGCGTGTCCATCACTTAGTCACAATGTTTCATTTAAGGTAGTGGAGTTGTGATGTTGTGAACCTCTTGATATAGTGATTGCATTTTAAAATATTTGAGGAAGTCAGGAAAATGCATTGTAAGAAGCTGTAGATTGAAAGGACAATTCGGTGTTATGCCAAGTCTGGATGTGCACAACAGATATGTCCAAAGCCGAACAGCAAGACTTTAGCAAGTAGAATTGCTTTAGGGACCTGGCATATTGAGCTACACACCCGGGGTGGTTGACCTGGGGTCATTCGGGGTGGTACATATATGTCATATTCATACGGAGTGGCCGTTTGGGTCATGTCCACCGGGAGATGTTTCGATCAATGGATTGGCGTGAACATCAACAGGAAACCGGCTTCAACACCCCCCGGCACGCCACTTGCGCCGCTCTCCCATGGCAATCCAAAGGTCCTTCTTTTTCACAGGAAACTATAGGGAAGCCTTTTTTTGGTAAGCATCCAGTACAGGCAAAGGTGCAACTATGGACCCAGTATCAAAGAAACCGACCGAAGATTGCATGCAACATTGCGATATCATACGTGATGAATGAACCGCAAAAGAAGCTCTAGAGCCGAGTTGAAGACAGATGGCAAGGATGAATGTTCCATGAATTTCCTTCAAGCCGCTCATGGAACCAAGGTAGGACCACTTGGATTGGAGGTGTTGGCAGGTGTTCATCCCTTTTTCAGCTGGAAGAGAGACACAGAGACAAAGACGAAAAGCAGACAGGTCCAGGTCCGACCGCTGGTCAGAGGAGCCCTCGGATCCACCCATTGACACCACTCGGCTCCATGAGGCGGGTGGGACGTATTTGGGAGCCGCTCCGAGGTCGAACATGACCTGCGGTAAAGAAATGGAGTTACGAAAGGCGAGTGCTTGCATAGAACAACAACAGGCAGAAACATGTTTCGGTTGATTCATCAAAGTTTCAATTTCTGGACTTCAGGCCTTGAAACCAACTTCTTTTTAAAGAGATGATGCAACTGCTCAAAACTGCTCCTCCCATGGGTGTGGCCGACCCCTCCAACAAGAAGCAACCACCTTATTTCCAGGGTGGCGTTGGTGGTCCATCCGTGGCCCCTCATCCACTCACGACTGGTTGACATGCACTGAACCCGTCCCGCCGAGGGTGGTGAAGCAAGCTTCGATCTGACCAACAGTTGGGTAGTAGGTCGAAACCTGTGGATCCCAGGCAGCCACGAAAAAAGAGGAAGCATGGATAAGGGTTTCTCTATATATATATATATTATAGGTATATATAAGCTATTTAGTCTTATAGTTCAAACCGCAGAGAAAACACCCGGCAAAATCCCACCTGAGATGCGCCGAAAGTGTAGCGGCGCTTCAGTAGCAACGTCGGACCCGGACCGTTTGGGACCTCTTCGGAACATCGTCGTCTTCAGCGGCCAAAGCAGATGGAAGAGTTTCAGGCTGAGCACCAGCACCAGGTGTTTTCTGTTGGGGCGGCGTCTGTAGCGGCTAGATGAATGGGGGGTAACACATCCTTCAAGTAGACCATTCTTGCCGGGGTGGGGCGTCTTGCGGGATGAGATATGCGTGTAAAGGATATATATTCTTGTGCATGCCGAACCGAAGGTAAAGATCTGCCTGGAACCAGCGGCAGTCCGTCCTTTTGGTAGGCCCCAGTGTACAATCCAAAACTTTCCACAAGATTCATCTCCAAAGTGTTCTCGAAAAACATGTACAGTACTACATAGTACTACAACTTCATCCAGTTGATGTGTTCATGTGAGGCGACTTCTGGCCGTGGCCGTCCGCTTTGGCTTCGCTCCGGTGTGGCTCCGGTCGCAGGTCGCGTCCCTGGTCTCGGGTCTTTGTCGAGGCGGGCCGAAAGCGGTTGCGGCTGCTTCAGCCGGGGCGGTTCGGCGGTTCGACGAGTCGAAAGCGGGGTTGAAAGCTGAAGTGGATGGTACTTGGAGCCGTTTGGTGTTTTTTTTTTTTTGGAGAATAGGGGATGCGGCTTGAGATTTGAAGCACCAAAGCTGGGGCGGAGTGTGTTGTCTATATTTCACGACTCTCGTTCCATTGTTTGAACATCGGGTGAGTCGTAGCATGTTGGAAAGCCTGAAGGAATCAGTTTTGTACAGGGTTTTGGCGATGTTTTGAGGGAAGGGCTGTTGGTTCTCTTACGCACCTGTGGTGTTTTTGTTTTTCATTATATTTTTTTCAGGATCCTTGTGAGTGTCCACTCAGTTCACCTCATGTTTATCGAACAACATCAATGAAGGAGACCGTTTGATGGATTCCTCCATTTTTCCATTTTTGATATATAACAATAAGATAGAATTAAACAATGATGATACATGCTAAATACACCCCTGTGTCACGTAGATCAATTGGGACAGTCCGTAGAAAAAACACGGTCAATATCGAAGAAACCCATGTTCTTCACTTCCCCCCCGTTGGGCGAATCATGACCAGGTCGGTTGGCGGCCTTGGGGTAGCACGTGCGGCACGCGCCCCATGGACGAATTCGATGGATTTGGTGTTGGTATAGGGAGTGGAACTGTGGAACTGACTGGTCTTTGAGCTGCTTGAGACTCTTTTCTGTTGGGGGGGAAGGGGCATCGCTTGAAGTGAGTAGAAAGCCGACCACTTCATGTCGATGAGATGTTGCTGCAGCCTTGCGTCCTGCTGACCGAGGTGGCTGGTGGAAATCCTCCGGCTGAGCGCCGAGGTGGCTGGCAGTGAGCTTGCTGAGCCTAAGCGGAATCTCAAGGACGCACGAGACATGACTCTAAACAGATCGTTTTAGATACCTCAGCCGCAGCCTCGACCGGTTTGATCGACCGGCCAAGACCTGGAGCAACAGATAGGTCAACGAGTCTGTTTTTTCGTGCCATGGCACTAGCCACATGAAGAGACGTCGCTTGAGCCGAGACACTCGGTGAGCTCCAAACAAAACTGGTCTACTGGGCCACCTGCCATGAGATCGAGTTAATACCCACCGGCGCGACGGAGGAACGGCACTTCTGTTTGCCTCAGTGTGCCAGAAAAAGAGAAGCTGCCATATAGAAGACTTGGCTGTTTCGCCTGAATTATAGCGTTAGCTCTAAGGTGAATCAAACGTTTATTTCTCACAGGGCCCCCCCATGTTTGTTTTTGCAGCTTCAATCTTACTTTACCACCAAAGAGCGGACTGTTCTCCTTTACAAAGCCCTAGCAGCATTGAGTCTCATGTTAGTGAGTCTTCAGTGGTATGCCACGTGCAATCACTGAGCTCACCTCCCCTGCAGCCCGCTTCTACTTGTCCCAAAGAAAACCCTGGCCGGACTCGAATCCTAAATGCCTAAATGCCATGGGACATGCTTGTAGCATTTTGTAGTGGAATGTGGCAATAATCCATAATATTATCCAAAATGCCGGTGCGAGACAACCATCATGCATACTCAACGACATTGTCTTTGACCCACCCAGTTGGACAAATAGATGGCAGTCCCCAATATTGATCCGCAAAGATGCCCAGATCGGAAGAGAGGAGTGTGATTGGGTCCTGTGGACAATAGCAGTGGTGGGAGTGGGACTGTATTGAGAGCCCTTTAAGACGCCTTGCTACAGCTATCATCAGGGCGACTGAAACTGTTGTATATTATATAACTGACCTGAAGTTCTTAGATGTTGCGGATGAACATCGAGCTCGTTGGTTTTTTGTGACCTGCAGACTTCGTGAACGTGACCGAGCGAAGAGTGCACCGTGCCGACGGACGGGCTCAGTGCACTTTACAAGTGCCGGGAATTTCGAGCGCTGCTTTGCCGCTGATGGAGGCGATGGATGTGCAGGTTGAGATGTCTTAGGGAATGTGGCGAATTGGGCGCCTGAAGAATTCTATTTGTTTATTTGTTTATATTATATCATTATAGTTATATATAATAACCATAATTAACCGGAGATCCTGAAGGTTCCCCTGGTCATTGAGATTACTAATTAAATTTGGATGGGCAGCCCATGGCGTGGAGAAAAAAAAGACGTGCAGCGATCAACAATCGATTACCTTTGGGTTCTCCACCTCTGTGTTTCACGGTTACGACTCAATCCCAGATCCTGATGGAACCGATCGTGGGACGTATTGGACCGGGACGTATTGGACCGACAGGACTGGCAGGGCTGGGCTGTGGGTCATGACAGAAGGGGACCCTGGAGTCCCTTCACAGCGGGCTGTGACCCAGAATCGACGACAACTACCAGACATCGGTCAATCACTTCCAGGACCTTCAAAGTGACCTAGAATGAGATCCTAGAATAAGGTCACTTAGTCTCTAAAGAGGTCACTTAGAGACTCCAAAGAGGTCACGAACTGAAGGTCCAGGCTGGTATTTGTTTGTTTGGGCCTCCGAGTTTGGACCCATGGCCCGGCCATTAGCTTAGATGGCTTCTCCCAACCACCGCTAACCTCCCCGAAAAAACGAGGCCGAAGATCATGGCGTCGAGGAGTCGGACGAGGGCGCCGGCATAGAGGCGCCCGGACGTCGGCGAAACGGGCGAGGAGGCGGTTCTTGTGAGTAAAACGAGGGCGGGACATAGACAACCACTATAAGGATGACAGTGAAGTCTATAGTAGGCGAATGACTATGGAAAGTCCGGTGCAAAACCGGTTTATCCATAGTCATTGGAATAGTCCAAAAAGTGAAACAAACAAAGTTTGAATCCTGCACCTTCAGACTTGCGAGATGTTCTCATTGCCAAAGCTTGGTTTAGAAGCTTCAGACGCTTGAGAAGGTTCCAAGCGATTGTGATCTAACAAAAACCAATATTCTTCAAACCAAACCGTCAAACCAAACCTTGGTCCGCAAACCTGGGTCAGAAGGTTCGATCTTGAACCGAACATGGTCAGAATCTGTGAGGAGGACCAATCGACCAACATGATCAGGTCAGAGTCGTCCTCACGTGGGTCGTGGGCGGTGCGGGTCGAGTCGTCCGACTGGCCGTGGCGGGTGGGAACACCCGTGGTGGCCGGGTCCTGCGATCTTGTTCCGGTCCCTTGGTGTTTGGTGTTATTTTTTTTTTCTGCATGAACAAATAACACAATGGGTCCTTCCGGGATTGATGGTTTGGTTTATGTTCGCTAAAGAAATGTTGGGTTGAACTTCCAGTAGTTCTACAGCAGCTTCAAGATGTAGAGTCATTGGATTCAATCAGCAAAGGGAGGACCCTGACGGCCCTGACGGGATTGGATTGAGCAGCTTGTTGACCGGGTCGGATTTCCGTCTTGGGATTCAGAAGGTACCATTGGTCCGAAACGTATGACCAGCCCCCCGGACCGACGCGTAGCAGCAGTCAAGAAACTCTGGCCCATATGGATTTGGATGGCGTGTGTTTCGCATTCTTGTACACCAGTCACCAGTGTCCAACTTGTGTGCCGAGGCAGGAACAAATATACAACAATCATACTACAGTAAGTTCGAGTCAAAAAAACGTGATGTCCGCGTCCTCGTATGTCCTCCAAAACGGACAGCCCTGCAGCTACATGTTGCTTCAAAGAAATCACATCTATACCCTAGGGCTCCTGGCCCATATCCTCAGGTTCGGTGGTTAGACCCCCTGGCACCCACCCCAACCACCTTCTCAGCAAGCACTTGGAGCGCTACAGTAGGGATCAATTCAGGACGCTCGTCGCATGCATAGCGAAGTCCCAGTGTCCTTCCGCTTCGCAGATCTCTTGTGAGGCCTCTGGGCAATCCAGAGCTCGAGAGGCCCAATCGTGAACCGGGAGCAGCGAAGCACGTGTGATGGGTGGTGATGAACACGTGCAGCCTCCAGATGAAGATGGCAAGAACATGTGGTGGTGCTCTTCAGAGCCTCCAGGTTTGAATCCTCCAGGTGGTGAAGAGCCTCGCCAAAAGCTGAGAGATAAAGAGCCGGAATTGTTGAACGTTCGACTTCCCCTTTTGGGGGGGCCTGAAAGAAACCTCGTTTGGAGGCTTCACCCCCCAACTGCTGGTCCGACTTGACGTGCTTCATATTCTGTTTCCTTGTTGCACTACATGCATTGACTCGGGTCCGAGTCACTTGATTTGGAGATCCAGGTCGATACCTCTCATACTTAGTTTACCATGTATCATGGTTTCTGCAGGGAGCTTCATTCGAGGGTGAATATGGGTGAGTAAGTAGGACATAGGAGAAAGATATGTTTGTTCAAAATTGTGAAGCCACATGTGGAGATAACTCCCGATAGAACTTGAACAGCATCAGTAACCCGGGAAATCAAATGAAAGGCCGTGTGCTTGCTTTGCTTCTTCCGAAGGGTAGCGAGTTGATGGTTCCCATCAGAGGAGGAGACGACATCCCAATTCTAGGACAGGTATAGACGGTATAGGAAACTGTTTTGTCTCATTAGCTGTTGACTGGCATAGATTACGTGATATGGACAGTGTCTACCTGGTATTCATCTCATTGCCCTTCTGGACGTAAAGACTGGTAGTTGGACTTGAGGCAGTACTATATAGAGGACTCGTTTTGGCCGATCTCCTGAGAACAAGCCAGTTCTTGCACGAAGACTCTTGTTCATTAAGGATAAGGACTGAGGGTGAGACTAAGAGAGGCACAAGTGAATGTTCAATCTGTAAAACAGCAACAAAAACAACCGTTGCCAGGTAGCTGGCGAACCTTCAGTGATGCCACCCTGTCACAACGAATGCCACCTGTTGTGGACCTAACCTCATTTTCACCTAACTTTGGTGGCTCCGTCGTCTCCATCTCAAAAAGAAGCAACATGGTTGGGTGAGGAGTATGCAACACTTGGAGCTGATCGTGAACAGATCATCAACAATATGAACCAATATGAACCAATGATTATGAACTCTACAACTTCCATGCTAGGAATGGGAGCTTTCTTGGCGATCCAGTCTCCCCTCTCACCCAAGTGGACGGTCAGTTTCAGCGCTCCATCCGACCCGTCCGAGCTGAAACGTTCCGAGTGGCTTTGGACGCCACGCCATATCCCCAAATCCAGGTGGCCGAAGCTTTGGCCACGCAGCTGGAGAAGAAGTTGTCCCGCAGCTGGCGATGGCCGTCGATCGTGTGTTTTGGCGTTGGCCACGCGGTTGACCTTCCACCGTGATCAGGTGGAAAAAAACGGTTCACCGGTTAACCTATTGTGAGCCTCTATTTTGTCAGGGAAACTGCTGGAAGTCAGTACTGGCATGATGGAGTTGAACATCTTCCCCAGTGCCTTCACTGTTCTCCTTATGTGCGTTATACCTCGTAGAGGCGCCAGATCAACTACTTTTTGTGCTTGCAGAATGCTCGGGGAAAAAAAGAAACACCGCCCATTCGACTTTGCTCCCAGATGCTGCCCATTCTCCTCAAAATGCCATCGTCCATGCGGCATGCCTGCGGCACTGGGAAGATGCAGGGTCCTGCACTGAGGACTGGTTTGCGGCACTCCGCGCTTCAACAGAGGCGAGTGGCCGAGCGAATTTGCTGTGTTTTTTTTCGTTGAGCATTCATAGCTCGGTGTGATCGGTGTTCGGTTTGTTGAATTCAACACCAGTGTCTTCATGTATGTTTCACCCGTTTGCTTCGATTTCTATCTTAATCTTCTAGCTCAGCTCGTTGTGATCTTCTATAGATCACCAACAACCGGTGCTGAGCAGTTCGGGATCCATGGCATGAAGTTGTGGATGCTCAATTGAAGCTTTGGGAGGAGATTCTTCAATTCCAATCTGGAGG